TAGATAAGCTGTTTCCCCTGGCTTGTAAGTTTTAAAACCAGTAGACATAATCATAACACAAGACAGAGGCCATTTAAGACAGATGAGGGGAAATTCCTTCACTCAGAGTGGTGAATCTTTTGGAATGCTGTTCTCCAAAGGACTGTGAAAACTTAATCATCCGAGCAAGTTCAAGACAGATTGATGACATTGGGAGATTTGGATGTAGTGTGGAAAAGTGACATTGACGTAAATTATCAACCATGATCTAATTCAATGGTGAACCTCAATGGGCTAAATGGCTTACTCCTGCTCCTATGCCTGAGTCCAAGATGCTTTCCTCAAGGCTCAGTATTTGCAATGTAGTAGGTACAAACAGCTTCTCCAAGTTGCTCTATATAATCATGTGACCCTGGTATCATCATTGCATCATCGTACATCACCTTTATACATTGTACTGATGTTTCATTACTCTACAGATAATATCTGGAATGTGTTTGTTCTGTGCAGATTACTATGATATTTTAGACTTCATGGGTCCATGGAGGCATTGGGCAGTATCTTTCATTTATATAAATGGTAGTATGATTGTGTATATGAGTGCATTGAGAGATGAAAGATTAACCGGTCAGTTAGCCAGCTTGGAGGGACAATGGAGCTAGACTCTAGATTGCACTATGTTTCAGCAGCTGCTATTGTGCAGCAGAGGAAAGGGAAGGAAAAATGAATTTATGACAGCAAGAGTTGGAGATCTCTTACCTGCCTGTTTCTCTCATTATCTTGGAAAACAGAACATGGTAAAAGAGCAACTTGGGAAAACAGAACTCAAAGATACTACAAATTTAGCATTGACATAGAGGAATCGAGGTGTACAAGTCCACAGATCCCTGAAAGGCAACACAGGCTGATTAGGTGGTCAAGTAGACATATAGCAGGCTTGCTGAAAATAAAAAGTTGGCAAATTATGTTACGGCTATATAATACTTTAGCTAGGCCACATTTGGAATATTGCGTACAGTTCTGGTCACCACACTTCCAGAAGGGTGTGGATGCTTTGGAGAAGATGCAGAGAAGGTTTCTTATGGCAAGTTTGCCTTCGTTGGAAGGCGCATTGAGTCTAAGGATGGGCAAGTTATAGAACTTTAGTTAGGTCACGCTTGGAATATTGCATGCAGTTCTGGTCACCACGCTACCAGAAGGATGTGGATCCTTTGGAGAGGGTACAGAAAAGGCTTACCAGGATGTTGCCTGGTATGGGGGATTTTAACTATGAAGAAAGGTCGGATAGACTGGGTTTGTTTTCACTGGGACGCAGGAGGTTGACAGACGATCTCTTAAGGGTTTATAAGATTGTGAATGGCATGAATGAAGTGGGAAGTATAAGGCTTGTTTCCAGGTGCGGGGGGGGGGGGGGGGGGGAGGGGGGGGGGGAAAGAGAGAGAGAGAGAGAGAGAGAGTGTGTGTGTGTGTGTGTGTGTGTGTGTGTGTGTATATATGTGTGTGCACGCGCGTCTGTTGGATGTTATGTCTTTTATTTTTTCCTGGTCCTAGTAATAAAATTCTTCTTTCTGTCACTCAAGTAAACCTTTTAATTGGCTCCCTCATTTTATCTAGTTAACTACATCTTTAATTGATGAATAATGGCTGCATACTTAAATTAAAATTAAAAAGATTTGTTGCAACCAAGCTGAAAGGATTTAAAAAAACAGGAAGCTGATTCTGCCTCCTCACTTGATCAAAGCACAGTTTAAATTGTTTTCTTTCTGGGCCAGAGAGATTGCTCAGCAGAAACAAAAATCTCCTGACCAAAAAGTACTAACCCTAATTTCTGTGATGTTTTTAGCTGGCAGTTAACATATGAATAAACTGAAAGGGCAGTTGAGGGTGAGTACACTGTTCCAATGAGTCTGTTATTGGAAGGGCGTATTTCATCAGCCATTTACATAATTTATAGTTCACCAGGTACCTTCCTCATCAAAAGGTAATGACTGGTTTATAGCTTACCAGCAATGTACACACTGAACCTGGTATTTTGGAAGCAAATCCTGAGCTATTATTTCCAGCAAACCTTTAGTCATGCCTTCCAGCTTTCATCTTTCTGTTCGATGAAATATGTGAACAGGGAGCATAAGTTTAGCTCCCCAAGGCTGATCTGGTTGTGGTTCAAATTCCACATTTCCACCTACTCATGAGAACCTTTGATTTTGTTGCTTAACAAGAATCTATCTACCTTGGTCTTTAAAACATTTAATGATACCGCCTTTACTGCCTTTTGAGGCAGGAGTTTCAAAGCTGCACAACCCTGTGAGAGCAAAACAAAATATTCACATTTGCCTTCAAAAGGAGACCTCTAATTGAAAACAGTGCCCCTTAGTTCAGGACTGACCTACAAGAGGGAACATTCTTTTCACTTCCACCTTGTCAAGACCATTGGAGATCTTCTGTACTTCAGTTAAGTCACCTTCGCTGTTCTAAATTCCAGTGGAAATGAGCTCAATCTGTTCAACCTTTGCTCATAATAGAACCCACGTATTCCAGGTATTGATCTAGTAAACCTTCTCTGAACCACTTTAAGGATATAAATGTGTTTAAAGAGATCTATGTATGTACAACCAAGGAGCAGCTGTAAGCAATTCTGCTGCTGAGGCCTGCTCTGTCATTTAGTAAGATCACGACATCTGATTATAATCTCAAATCCACATTCCCTCCTGTCTTTGATGATAACCCTTCATCATCTTGCTTACCAAGAATCTAACCAACCTCTGCCTTAAAAAAAATTACCACCTTTTCAAGAAGAGTGTTCCAAAGTGTCTTAACAATTTGTGAGAAGAAAAGAATTCACCTTGTCTCTGTTTTAAATAAATAAATAAATTCTTACTTTTAAGAGGTGACCCCTAGTTCTAGATTCTCCCACATTAGGAAACATGTTTCAATCAAGTCGCCTCTTATCTTGTGATTCAAACCTTCTTGTGACTGCTTCTAATGCAATTATATCCTTTCTTGAAGAAGATGACCGATACTGAACACAGTAGTCCAGATGTTGCCTCACAAGTGCCTTGTATAACAGAACATAACTTTTATACTTAATTCCCACACAACAATGGCATATAGCATCATCAGCAGTACTATGAAGCAACACCTGCCCTGCAATATCTTGCTCACTGAAATTCAGTTTGGGTTCCGCCAGGGCCACTCAGCTCTAATCTCTTTTATGGCCTTGGTTCAGACATGGGCAAAAGAGCTAAACTCTGGAGGTAAGTTGAGAGTGACTTCACTTGATTTCAAGGCTGCATTTGATGGAGTGTGGCATCGAGTATCCTTAGCAAAATTAGAATCAATAGGAATCAGAGGCAAAATCCTCCATTGGTTGGTTATTCCCAGCACAAAGGAAGACAATTGTGATTGCTTGAAGTCAATCATCTCGGCTATAGAACATGTTTGCAGGAAAACCTTAGGGGAGCATCCCAGGCCAACCAGTAAACTCCATATCTATTGAATGAGTTTTTTTTATAAAAGCCCATCAGGACCCATGCATTTGTCAGATCACAGCTCCAACGATTTATCCAGTACCATTCCTCTGGTGATTGTAATTTTCGTGAGTCGCACCCTTCCTTCCATTTCCTGATTTATAGCTGCTTCTGGGGTATTATTTGTATCTTCCAAAGTGAATTCTAATGCAAAATACGTTTTCAATTCATCTGATATGTTTTTAGTTTTTAGTTTCCATTATGAATTTTCTAGTCTCACTTTCTGTAGAACTAACTTTGTTTAGTCAACACGTTTCTTTTTAAATATGTATAGAAACTTTCTATGTGCTTTTATACTTCTGGCTGGCTTTATCTTTGGCTCTTTCTTGTTCTGTCCTTATTCATTTATTAGTCATTCTTTACTGTTTTTATATACTGTCCAGTCTTCTGATGTGATCTGTCACCTGTTTACTTAACAGCACATTTTTTTTTCTCTTTAAGATTGTTGTAGTCTTAAACTTTGGTCATTAATTAAAGATGGTGTATCCATCCATTGGAGTGATTCTCACTCTTTCACATATATATATTCTGCGTATATTGAAATATTCCCTTAAATATCTGCCATTGCAACTGTCTTTACCTATCCTTTAACTTAGTTTTCCAATTCACTTTAGCCAACTCAGTTTGCGTGCCCTCAATTAAGTTTTAAAAAAAAAGGTCTCAGACCCACTCTTCTTCAATCTGAATTAAAATTTAAACATGTATGGTCGCTGCTATTTAGAGCTACCATCACTTTAACTAACCTTATTTCATTACGTAATATAGATCTCATGTAAATTGCTGGTAGACAAACGGGAGGCTGGAAGAACACAGCAAGCCAGGCAGCATCTGGAGGGAAGGAGCGGTTAACGTTTTGGGTATTATGCTGCTTCAGGACTGAATTACTGTCTGGTTGGCTCCAGAACATGATGTTCTGAGAAACTATCCTGAAAACATTATTCATCTAGGCTGTCTTTTTCCCATCTGACATTTCCAGTCTATATACAAGTTAAAATCTCCCATGAATATTGCTGTTCTTTTCTGGCAAGGTCTCTATTTCTTCCTTTGTGTGCAAGTCTGTCACTTGTTTACCGTCAGGGGCTTGTGCACCACTTTTATAAGTGACTTACCTTTATCATTTCCCATCTATACCCAGTTTTGATATTTTGGTTTCCGTTCAGCAACGATGGAACCATCCCTCCAACTTTTCTTAGCATTGTGTCCTTCTTAACTGTCATATACGCATCAATGTTCAGTTACTAATAGGTGTCATCTGCAGCCATGACCCTGTAATTGCTATGAAATCATACTTATTTGCATCCTTTTTGCCTATCTTTTTGCTTAAAGGTAAGGTGTAGTGTAAGTTGACAATGAGCATGGTTTTAGCCAGAGAATATCGTGTGCATTTTCTGAGAAAGTAAACTGTGATACACATATATCTTAGCAAACTAAAATTAGCTTAGGACTTTTATTCTCCATCATCTATAAGTATTTTCTAATGTTTTTGTTTTGCAGATCTTGAGTAAAAATGGCAAAAGATCAGTTTTATCGAAGAGGTAGTTTCAATAGCTACCAGAGCAACACAAGTGATGAAGATATGGTGGAAATTGCAGGAGCATCTCTGGACTTTTCTTTGGCAGATGACGTTCCTCCTTTAGACAGGGAGCCACAAGAAGGTACAGATCAAGAAAACCTGCAGAGGTTTCAACGAACGTGTGAGGGAGTGTTATGTTTTTATTTAACATGCATTCAAGAGGGCATTGGATGGTTCATTGGATAGAAATGGTGTGTACAAGGATATGTGGAAAAGGCAGGAGATTGACTCCTGGTAATAAAACTGGTGCAGTCATGATGAGACAAACCACCTCCTTCTCCATCCTAACAATTCTGTGATTCTAAGATCATAACATTGACTTATTGTAAAGTAATTCATCATAAGATTGTTATGGATAACTTCATTTTAAATTGCCTTAGTCTAGTATGCTTTCATTTTCATGCTATGTAATTTCTAGCAGTTAGTTGCAATTTAGCCATCTAATGATAATTAAACAATTGTCAATTGCTTTTGTGGTGACCGTTGTAAATATTGCTGAATTAAAACATTTTGTTGCAATTATTCTATCTTCCGCTCCTTTGGACATTTCGCAATAAGTGTGAATGTGTTTCTACAAGCCCAGGATGATGTTGTGTAGTGGTAGTATCCTTACCTGTGACCCAGATGGCCTTTGTGCTGCTCTGGAGTTGGGTCATAACATGTCCATACAGGTTGATTAAAAGTCTTTGTGGATTGTGGATGAGGTTGTAGACATGCTCGCCGAGCCGGTGGGTTTGGTTGTCAACCTGCTGGGTAACATTGTCAGTGTGCCTCTGGTAAAGCGTTAGTGTTCTGCCCTGCTTGTTATTTATATGCCTCAGTTTGCTGGGGTGTATGGTATTACTTCCGGTTTTGTTTCTCAGTGGTTTGTACACAGCATGTAATTCAATGTGTTTGTTGATGGAGTTCCGGTTGGAATACCAGGCCTCCAGGTATTCCCTGGTGTGTCTCTGCTTGGCTTGTGCGATTATCGATGTGTTGTCCCAATCAAATCTGTGTCCCTCGTTGTCCATGTGCAGAGAGACCAGTCTCGGTGGCTAGTTGGTGTTCATGTATCCGCATAGTCAATTTTCTTCCAGATACATGAACACCAACTAGCCACCAGGACACATGACCAATTCTCACTTGTCTCACTACACATGGATAACAAGGGACACAAATTTGACTGGGACAACACATCCATAATCGGACAAACCAAACAGAGACACGCCAGGGAATTCCTGGAGGCCTGGTACTCCAACCGGAACTCCATCAACCAACACATTGAATTAGACCCTGTGTACAAATCACTTAGAAACAAAACCAGAAAAAGTACCAGTCGCCCCAGCAAACTGAGTTATATAAATAACAAGCGGGACAGAACACCTATGCTTCACTGGAGGGGCACCGATGATGTTACCTAGCAGGGTGACAAAACATTTCCAACCAAACCCACCGGCTTAGCGAGCATGTCTACAACCTCGGGTTGATTAAAAATAACTATATCTATGAGCCCAGCTGGCAATACTCACTTGCTTGTTAGCATAGCTGTTTTCACACCAGGATTAGTTAAGCAAATGTTATCCAATCACAGAAAAATAACTAAGTTTGAACACTGTTATGAATTTTGCAAGTACAGTCAGCACCTTGCTTGTTACTAGAAGCATGTAGATGAGTTTATGTGTATTAATACACAGAACCCTATTCTTTGCAGAAAAAATATGTTCACACATTGCTTCTGTTTAAATTCACCAAAATAGGTGACGGCAAAATTTATTCCTTCGGGCAATGTCTTGAACAATCAGTCAACTTGGCTGGTTTAAAATTTAAACAAATCTTGGCTATTAACTGACAGTCATCATTAATGGATGTATTCACTAGGGCAACACCACTACCAGTTAGAGTCCATTTACTAAATAATCAGCACTTCTTTCTTATACAGAAAAGGTGTTGTTTTCCTTTTGCTTGGTACTTATTGCGAATTGTCCTGATGAGTGCAAGATAAAAAGCTTAAACAAAATGTTCTTTTTTCAGCATTCTGAAAATATTTAATAGCAAATGACCGATAGTGGTAACTATGTATGTACAAATTTTAGCATCCTTCATCTGATTGTTAAAAGTGAGACCACCCTTGGTCTGAAATGGGTTTGAGAAAAGAAGAAAGACTGGTCAAAATGGCTACTGTGATCACCTGACTACAGATTTAGGGAGGTCCAGGGGACCCTTTTGAAATAAATGAAATCATCTGCACTGAAATTAAGATCTTGAAACGAGACAATTGCATCACTGCCAAGAAATTTTCAAACAAACCATGTGTCAATAACTGTTTGGCAGAGATGAGCAGAGAGAAGGAATGCTGGAACTATAACATCAAAACCTGGATGACTTGGTCACACAATCTCTCAGACTCTAAGTACTTTTAACCTGCATAACCTTTAATTGTTCCTGTTTTTAAAAGACTTTCTTTCCTTATTAAACTTATTGTATGTGTTTGATGCCATAGAACTTCATAGAATCCCTACAGTGTGGAAACAGGCCCTTCAGCCCAACAAGTCCACACTGACCCTCAAAACATCCCACCCAGACCCATCCCCCTAATCTACACATCCGTGAACACTATGGGCAATTTAGCATGGCCAATCCACCTAGCCTGCACATCTTTGGACTGTGGGAGGAAACCAGATAACCGGGAGGAAACCAGAGAACCCGGAGAAAACCCTCGCAGACATGGGGAGAATGTGCAAACTCCACACAGACAGTCACCCGAGGGTGGAATTGAACCCAGGTTCCTGGCGCTCTAAGGCAGCAGTGCTAACCACTGAGCCACCGTGCCACCACGCATGACGTGACATGTTATTATTTTTTCTTAGAGTTAGTAAGATAATAAAATTCCACTTATGTTCAAAAAATCTTTAACAATTGGCTCTGTTCTTTTCATCCTGTTAACTATGTCTTAAATTGACCTGTGATGCTGCACGCTGAAAAAAAAATAAAAATATTGGTTGCAGCTGACCAAGAGGAGCTTTAAAGGAAGGAGCTGAATACTCCACTATCTGGTATTAGCAAGATAAAATTTGATGGTTCATATTTATCACTATTATAACACTTTTTGCAAAAAATAAATAAGGAATGATCTATTCTAGTAACTTTTAGGAAAAATTGCTGAGTATTTAACAAGAAAAACTGAATATTTGTTTATTTGCTCAATATAGCTCAGGCAGCAACTGGAATGTTATATTTTTCTTAAGTTAGGACTTCCAGTTGTGATTGCTACCCAAATGATAGAAATAAACATTTCAAATGTGGAATTTGTTACCTATTACCATTACCTATTAACAATGTCATATAGGGTTAAGAAGTTCAACTTTTGCTTCGAAATGATTTAGAGCGACTTTAAAAAATGGAATTTTAAGTATTTATCAAGTTAGTGCAACACAGCTTGGTGGATTATACACATATTCATATCTCAAAAAATCTTCAAATTCCTATGCATGAACAATAAGAATGGGAAGTGATTATAAGAATTTGGGAAACAAAATGCTTTCAGTGCATTAAAAATAGTTACATTGATTTTTATTTTCAGGGCAACCTATTGATTTGTCATTTTACCAACATTTAAATTTGCACAGTATTTACTTGTCAATAAAGGGCTGTGTATATATGCTTTCTGTAAAAGAATTACATTTGTTTTAGAAGATGATGGCAGTTGCGAAATTGCAGATTGATCATATAAAATTGGTCTTGTGAATTTATTTTGGTATTGTAGACTTTTTTTATTGACAATTTCCCCAGTCTGTCGGGTTTATTCTGGCTATCAAAAACCCAAGGCAGTTCTATCAATAGAATATGCCCAATGTTCTTTATTAAAATAAAGTATGCTGCAAAAAATACTACTGAAATCTTACCATATAATGCCTACAATTACAAGTGAACCTGTTTACATGGACTTGTCTGAAAATCAGACCAAAACAGGTAATCAGACTGCTCTATCACAACTTCCAGCCATTGATCAGATGATCTCCTTCCTGAGCTAGCTAATTGTGCTGTGAGGCAAGTTTTTGTTTATATTCTTTCCATACAAAGAATCTGTGCATTTACACCTTTACACTGCCCAGTCTCCAGCAAATGATCAGTTTGACCACTGGCCAACATAAACATGTCATCTACCATGGGCAATTTAATCAATTAACTCATTAGGGTTTGCTTGTGTCTCCCTGGAATAAGGTTTATTTGTTGCTTTTAATGAATTTTAACCTCAACTTTAATTCATTCATGCTTTTCACCATTTTTTATACTATCTAATCAGCGATATAATATTTACACAGCACAATTCTATGATAAACACAAATACTGATGAGTAGTCCACATTATCTCATCACATTCACTGTGTCTGGTTTAAACAAAATTTCAGCTTTTCCAGCATTACTGTGACAGTTCTATCCTTTAATTGCTGAGCTATAATACTCAATCTAAATGCTTGCACATTCCTTCAGCAAAATACGGAAACACTTTAGGAGCAGTAATCTTTCTAATCATTAGGCCATCACCAGGCTTCAAGTGATTTCTCCTCAATTCATTTAACTTCATATCAGCTATAGTTAATATCTATAGATAGAAAAATTCACATTATTTTTCTAAACATTTTTCAAACAGTGCATTCTTGAAATACTTTTACAGCTTCTTATTTGTTTATTGAAATATAGCTTTAGCTTTATTGTCAAACATAGCAGGCAATTTGAAGACCATAAAATGCCATCCTAAGGTGAGGGATAAATGTGACATTGGAGACACCTCCCTGCCCATCTCCATGGGAATGAGGGTGGCAGAGTGGGAGCAGAATAAATTGCCCTCTCCAGATGCCATCTCCTTTACTACTTCATCAACCCCTAGATATTTTTTTAAATTTAGATTTTATTGTCAAGTGTACTTAAGTACAGAGAATACAGAAATACAGTGAAAAGTGTACAAAGTCACCATTTCTCCGGTGCCATCTTAGTGTGCAAAAGACAGGATTAAAAACAGAAGCAGAACTGAAAGAAACAGCCAAAAGAAAAGAAATTGTCCAGACCACTCTCCCGCCTCTGTCATGAGCCCTCGCTGCCA